TTACAATGGTGTTGGGATACGCAGGCTCGTAATTCTAATACAACATGTTTTAGGAACTGGATCCTCCATTCCGTTTGCCAGCACACCTGATGGATCCCCTCGAAGCATTTCGCAGTATCGCTGCTTCATGGCTTTTTTCACATAAGACTTGAAGACACTTCATATACCTTCAACTGGATTCAGTGGAGGCAAATACGGTGCAAGTCGCAGGAGTTTTCCTGAGAGGTAAGGCGCTTCCTGGAAAGCGCGTTCCAGATCAGTGTGGCACGGTGCTTTGTCACATATAAGCAGGCACTTGTTAATAACAGCTGCGCCGTTGGCATCAAACATTGGACGTAACCACCTACAGCATCTCTCTTTGCTGTAACCCTGTTAGTACAGAGTACCCCAGAAGTCCGTCTGCAGTCATCGCACTAACAATATGTAAATTTTAGCCACGAGCACTCGCGACCGTACATTACGCACGGCAGCCACGTGCTGAACACCCCCTTGTGCGAGCACAAGATTGGTTAAAGTGCGTTTCATCAAACTAACTGCTATGTAACCTTCTGCTTCCAGATTCATCAGTCGCAGAACGTACGATTTCCTTCGCTTCTTGTTCTCAAGCGTATGCATGGACTCTGGTATTGAGTGCAGCTTTTTCATGACTATGAACCGACCGTCTAAGTATCGAGCAACGGTACTGATGCACACATCCACTTCGAATGCCACCTTCAACCGGAAACGAAGCGTTTCTAATGCAACCGTATGTTCTGATTTAACCCATTCCAGTAGACAACCTGCGTGACTCTCAGTCAGTGAATTTCGACGTGCACCGCCATATTTTCCTTTATGTTTGTGCGATTCCAATCTTCTTATCCAAATTCGGCAGGTCTTTAGGTTTACTTGTAAAACAGATGCAACCTGCTTCCAATTATTACCTACTTCATAGGTACTCAGTATTCTGGTCTTCACTTCTGCCGAATGGCGCATTTGTCTGCCTTCTCTTACCATAGCCCGTAAGTTAAATTAATCGTTGACTTGTTATACCGTATAATTACCAACCTGCAGTATCATTGTTCCAAAAGGCCCACGAAAATCCCAAATGAACACAGAGACTCGTTTAAAAACAAACATAGTTCCAAACCAACCCACTAGGCGTCAACCGTGGTCAGGTCACTTTATACAGTATAGCGTGGACTGGCGAATCGAAGTGGACGACGGACGCACGGCAACATGGATGTGTTGCAGTGAGTATGCACGTGACCTTGGCTTCAATGTAAATAAATAAATAAATAAATGTTTATTCTCGACAACGCGAGGCACAACGTTACAGGCATGATCGTATTTAGCAAACATAGGGTGATCAAATTGTACAAAAGGACATGTTTGGCATAGCAGTTTATGTAAGTATATGGGTGTATATACGTATGCAATTGTGTGGAAATGTAGCTTGTGGTTTCAAATGCGCCGCAGAATGTTTTACTGTTTGTTATCGTCAGCAATGTGAGAATAAGCCATTGATCTCAATGGGTTGGATAACATTTTCCGAATATCCACGGGCCAGTGACTTTAGTTTGTGGCGAGACACATCCGCCACGTCGCAGTGCTGTTAAGCAGACATTTGTGGCTTTTTATAGGGAGAACGCTTGCCAGGTGAAAACCCACCACGTCCTGGAACACTACTGCCGAACTATTTGCTAGAAAGGGTTAAATCTACACCACCCAGCTGGATCCACGAGGAGGTTTTTGGCCTAGCCAAATAGGAGAAAAGCAATATCCGCGTTCGCCAAAAGGAAGCGGAATGACAAAGGGAAATAATACACTCATTCAGACCCATACAATTTTATTTCAGCTATATCTTGCACGCAAACGCAAACATGTTTTATTGACCCGTTATCGGCTTAATACCGGCTCCGCATTTCAGCTAACATTACGTAATCCCAATACAAGCTTAGTACGGTTCTCGTAAGCTGTGACGACCAGCCAGCTGATACCAGCCCTGTGAGTGCCGAAACAGTCAGCATTACAAGTTACACCTTCAGCAATGTTTATAGTCAGCATCGTCGTGCGCATCGATGTCAACCGCGATCAAGGTCAGGCGTAAGCCGTTGGTTTTGTAGTGCGCTGGTGTCTGGTTTATGAGAGCGACTATTCATAACAGAGATAGGATTTCGCTCACGGTCGCGCGAGACGTGTCTTCTCAGGGGCTATTCAATTCTGAAACAATGTTAGCCGCTTCGTAACTATGTTGCTTCACACAATTAATTGGTTAAAGCGGAAGATATACCCGGCTTGTTTGGCGGTTAGTCTAAGTAAACCAAAATGGTCCGGTCAATATCTATGCTTTACCAGTTCCATACTGATGGGCCACAAGCGTATCCTGGTGAAAACCTTGTTAACTCGTGCCAGACGTATCTGCCAGAGCGACTGCCTGACTGAGCAGGTAAGAACAATAACCGAAACACTCCTAGAAGTCTTATACCCTAAGAGCCACATCACGAAGCATAGCTAAGTCAGACCGCCGAAAGAAACGGTGTTGACGACACCTAAGGAAAATGTATAACTCGACCTCCCATTTAAGGGTAACCCCGCTTTAACGGGGGCAACCAAGCGCTTCCTATACGTCACCCAGATAATGTAATGTGCTACAAATGCTGTGGTGATAAACAGAATCCGGAAATCGTCACTACTTTCGGCATAGTAATTTGAAACTATCAGCGCCAATACACAAAATACTCACTAATCCGATTATCCCTGTTGCGTTAGTTAGATAAGCAGGAATGAGGGGTTTTGATTCCAGAGTGAACAAACCCCGGACCAAATGGGTTCAAGGTGAGGTCAGCCATTTCGAGTCCAATATTCCGTGTGCACGCAAACGTGAACCTGTTTTATTGACTCCTTGGCTGCTTGACACCGGCTCCGCAGTTCGGCTGCTATTACGTAATACTAATACACGCTTATTACGGTTCGCGTAAGCTGTGACGACAAGCCAGCTAAGACCTGCCCTGTGAGTGCAGAAACAGTCAGCTTTTGACCTACGGATACCCCGGTCCTAGGACGATTGCCGCCGTTCATCTCACTGCATTTCACTAATTGATAACACCCTTGGGACTGTTTAAGATAATTACTAGTTATTTATTGGTACTGATGAGACAATGCGAAGTGCGTGCATTCATCAGTGACCATCACCTCATTTTGTCATTCAAACTATTGGAGGTAAATAACTGTTGGAAAAAATGCAGTTTATTTCTCGGCGGTGCGCGAGACTGTGACGGCATAGGGACAAAGCAATGCTGACATGAATTCCCTGAGGCCAGTCACACATGCAATTATAGTGTCCCACTGACGCAAACCGAACGTTGGCGAAGTATGTGAATGGACGGTGTGTATCCGTTCACACGGGAGTTATACTGTGCGGCCAAATTCAGCAACACGTAATGCCGCAGTTAAAACGCTCGCATGTGTTCACCGGTGGCCATGGTACGCTATGCTATGTAAGGACAGGCTCTCAGGGCTTATATTAAGTGCCCATCCAGTTGCACACGTGACCACTAGCTCTTTTCGCTACTTAGCCCCTGCTTCAGGGGAGTGGTGGATCAGGTGTCTGTCGCCACCGTGACTGTGCAATCAAACATTGCTGACCCCGCACGTACGTCCGGTCTGTGGCTGCGGAGTACGAGGCTTGCATGCATGACCTGCCGTCCGGTTAGGTCAACCCGCCTCACCTTTTATAGCTACACCTCATCCAGTCTGTTCATATAACCATTGGCTTTAGCGATGCGCGCTGGATCAGCGATCAAAACTCAGAGGGTTGAGCGTAACTCCCGCCTACTTTCCACGACAATATCCGGGTAAATCACATGCACTCGAGGTAAACCTACATCCCAATTTAGGCGAAATATCCCCTCATTTAAAGTGGCTGTCCCGCTTTCTTAAAATTGCTGGGCGTGGTGTAATAATGTTCCGATTTGAGGACGTGTACCTCAGAATATCCCACTTTGAGCATGTATACTGTAGGTGGAATAGACAGAATCAAACAGTGGCGGTGCAAGCACACCATAAGGTAGGGAGGCAGAAGGCAGTGATTTCCCGGAGGACAAAAAGAACACTAAGAATGGAGCGGACGGAAACGGGAACTGGCACAATAAGGGAGAGCAGGCGGAGCAACATTGGCTTAACGGAACGAGAGGAGAACGGGGCATGATTGACGTCCGTTATTGTAACATTTTGGACCAACCCCAAGCATTGTTTGTTGCATCCACGTTCACGTAAATTAAGAACTGTCGAAAGACACCCGGGCCGGTCAGAATGGGATGCGTAGAAGTGGAGATACAGGGGTGTAATGGGCGGGAAATACCCTTTCACCAGGCCCCTAAAGTGCATGGTGTCGCGAGCGGAAACCCGGAGTGATGGTGCGTCGTGGGATGGAAAGGTGACGTACGTCGGTGTGGGGATTCA